CCGGGGAACAGCTTCTCAATCAAGTTTCCTTTTATAAAACAGGTAGAAATGAAATGACACCATTCCGTCAGGAGTACGGCGAAAACTCATTATGATTACAGGAGGCATTCTTTTAGCCAAAGGCCTTTCTCAGTAATTTAACAAAGTTTCTGGGTCCTCAATCAAATTTCTCTTTTCTTTTGTCTCTCCAACTCCTTCCCTGGGCGTTATGGACCATTGTAGATACGGAGCGTTATTCATGTTGATTGGCAGCTTTAATCGGCAGCCTGGTGTTCGTACATCTGTCTGCAGAAGCTTCAGCTTCTCTGGTGTTGCAGCGCTCAACAGACCTAATTATTTTTCAAAGTGATGTTTGCATTTAATTATAATGTGTGTTTTTTTTTTTTTAGATAAAATTCACACTGAATATTTTTGTGCTCACGTAAAGCAGTTAATTGTCGTTTTGCTCTTCTAGGAACTATTTAGCAGATGTACTCCTGCAAAAAAAAAAACAAAAAAAAAACATATGTGATGTGTGTGTTGCATAGTTTGGCTTACAGTTTTGCAGAGCTGTGCACCGGAATATAATCAATATCTGACTCAGGAGTTATTGCAGTTCTGTGGAAAAAGGTTTATAGTCGTTGAGCTTTTTACATTTTTGTCACCTTACAATCAGAAACTTCAGTCTACTTTATTGGGATTTATGCTCTGGATCAACACAAAATAGAAGGGCATTGTGAAGTGGAAGAAAAAGGATATGAGGTTTTGAAAAGTAAAAGTAAAATATCTGAACAGTGTGGCGTCCATATGTATTCAGTCAGTGCTTTGTAGATCTGCCTTTTGCTGTGATTTCAGCTGTAACTGTTTTGTGGTATATCTCTACCGTCTCTACCATGGAGAGACTGAGACTTTGGCCCATTCTTCTTTGCTAAATAACTGATCCAGATCATCTGGGAACATCAACTGGATTTAGATCTGACCTCTGACAGGGCCGTTCTCACACATGAACATGCTTTCATCTAAACCATTCCACTGTCACTCCAGCTGCATGTTCAGAAAGTCTTCACTTCAGTCTCAAGTCTTTTGGTGCTTCTTCACTATATTGTGCTCTATCTATGTTGCCATCAACACTGATCAGCTTGGTTGGATTAAACAGACCGTTTGAGATCTTCAGAGACAAAATCATCCACAGATGGAGTTGATTTATTAAATTTTAAGTATCTATTAGGTGATTTGTAAAGGAAATCCGTAGGCATCCATCAACACTTTGAAAACCCAAGTATTTCAATTCACAGTTATGCACTTATTTGTGTTGGTCCGTCACTTAGCATAAAATTTGTGGTTGCAGTCTGGGAACCTATGTTCAGACAGAATATCCAAGCGTCCGTTTGACCTCGGCTCCAGCGTGACAGAAGTTTTGAGTTTTAATTGGAGCAAACTAGCAGAAAGCCACATGTGACTTTGTTGTTTCCTCCTTCCTGGCAGCCCCCGGAGGAGATCTACTCGGCCGGCGACTCCATTGTCATCAAGTTCCACTCTGACGACACAATCAACAAGAAAGGTTTTCATGTCCGCTACACCAGCACCAAGTTCCAGGACACACTGCACTCACGCAAGTGACCAGCGGGGGCCGGAAGGGGCCGTGCAGGGCAAAGGGGCAAAAGGAAGGGCCCCCGGGGGAGGCGCCAGCCTGTCGCTCGGAAACCTTCGGCCACCAAGACGAATCAGACTCGACAGAACAGCCGCAAGACCACCAACCGCACCTCAGCACCCAGGGGCTCTAGCTCCCCCCACAGACTGTGAGGAGTAAAGCCATTCTGCAGTACACCTTGTTTTTACCTTTTTAGGATTAGGGTTGGAGTGAGAGGACGAACAACTACTTTAGGCAGACAGTAGGGGAAAATGTATTGACCCACTCCCCTCCAAAAAAAAAAAGTTTTTTTTTTATTCTTTTTTTTTTTTTTTTAACACGCTTCCTACTCGGAGGCAAAAAGGAAAACAGTGGATTCTCAGGACCTGTAGGAAGGCAGGCATCAGCTGGACAGATCTCTGCTTTTGTCAGGCCAGCCCACAACATGGCGGGGTGGGGAGTGGAGAGGAAGAGGAGGAGGAGTATGGGAACAGCTCCTGCACTCTTCGGTTATTGCTCTCCTCTCCTCTCACTCTCACTCTCATGCCTACGGTGCACGGATTCCTGTCCATAAGAGGATCAAAAGGACTTCACTTGAGATTTTTTGAAACTGTATGTCAGCCAATTGCATGTAATTACAAGGAGTGAAGGAAAGCTGTACAGTGGCAACACCAGCATTTGTACTTGGCATTGTCCTGGCAGCCAGTGACAACATTCTTGTTCTTACCATTAACAAGGAAATTAGGGAAGCAGTTACCTTATTAAAGGACTAATAAATGAAATGTGGTCCATTTCTTCTGGTTGGTACTTACTTCCCTGACGACTGGCTATTTCTGTACCTCCATGTATAAAGTAATGTGTTTGATTTCTTTTTTTTTTTTTCCTAAGGGAACATGTGCTTTTTTCAGTTCGAACCAGTTAGCACTTTACAGTGAATTGTTCCAAAATCATGAGCTTCTAAAACTTTGTGAAATGCAATGCCAGTTCACTTATTTTTAAATGCATTTTATCTCCTCTTCTTTTTTTTTTTTTTTTTTAATTGCTCCATCTAGTTCCTCAGGCATACTTGAACATTGTGTGTGCCCTGTAACATGGGGTGAAATAAAGGTATGACTTTATGTTTCAGTATAACTGTTGTTTTGCAGTTCTGATGTAAAGTACATTCTCTCTCTCTCTTGAGAGCAACTTGCCTTTTCTTTGGTACAATGAAACATTTCTCGATGACCAAATGAGCCGGGGTATTTATTGTTACACATATAATGTAAAGGTGTAAAGGATCCTATAAAAGCCTTCTAATGTATAGCCACTTGTGTTTTGTTTAATCTATGTTGTTGCTCACTAACTTTCTCTGTCGTTCGGCTCCATGTTTAAAGAACGCTCTGCTGCTCTGCTGTTTTCTGTCTGACCTGCTTTTTTTCCCACAGGAATAGTTTGGACCAATTTAGACAAAGATTGAACCAACTTGCTGTGAAAAGTATTCGGTCAGATGTGTGCGAGAAGGTAGCAAAAGTTAAATGAGAAATTAACCCTCAACAAACATGGCTGACGTATTAATATCTCTTGTATCATTTAGTATTTGCCCTTTTTAGACAGAGGGTGTCACTTCACGGAAATTAGAAAAGTACTGTCACACTATCATGTATCTGCCTTGGATTTTAATGAAGATCAAAACCACCATTTATGATCCAAAATATTTCATCTGCCTGTTGCGATTTTAAGTTTTTACGTAGGTAAAACAACTTCAACAAAATTTCCCTAAATTCGATGCAAGTCATAGTAACGACCTGGAAATTCAGTCGCATGCTATTCTATGCAGAAGCTCAGTCTTCACCGATGAAGATCGACTTCACACTCAAATGCTTAGAGTGGGTCTGAAAGACAGGGTGAACTTTTATTTTAAGATTTCAACAATTATTTGATCACATGAGTGCAGAAGTAATCATTTCAATTATATGCGAAAACTGATTTGCACAAATTAATGAAATTTACACCTCACTTGGAAGCTACTGTTAGTGTTGATATAAATTTCATATGAAGGACCAAATAATGAAGTTATTTAATCTCATGCTACTTTGTTCCGAGCCTCGGTGAGCCACTGGTTCAGATTCAATTACCTCTGAATACTTATTTGACTTTTTGGTGGCACTCAGACCTTCGATCTTTTAACTCCATATGGATCCATGAAAGTCCAGAACTATTCTTCCTCGAAGGACATCGTTTTTAAATTTGCCCTCTTCTGACCAGGCTGTACTCTCACAGTTTTTACTGACTGGTCCAAATAATTTGCAACAACACTTTAAACCTTCTTGTTCTTCAGGAGTGGAGTATTGCGCAGCAAGTGTGCAGATGAGTCATTGAGAACATTACGTATTGTTTTGATGTGAATAACTGCACCTGCTATTTTCAAGTCTTTTGTTGCTCCATAGCTTCTGGACAACTCTTGTTATCTTCACTCTGTCAGAAATTTTGAGGACACCTTGGTGCGGTTGGTTTATGGTAAAATCATTTTCTTTCCACTTTGAGTGTAGCTCCAATGGGGCTTACGGTAACATTCAGAAGTTTAGAAATACAGCTGTGACAAATTTCCATTAGTGTGTTCAGCAACTTTAATGCTTTTTATCTGTCTTTTTGCTTTTATCAATCTCACCACCGTGACACAGTTAATATTAAGCGTGCTGATTTTCATTTGCACATACCAGCTGGAGTGCTGTCTAAACACACTTGAGCTGCTTTCTGTGCCTTTTTGAGCTAACCCAAAAGCTCTTCTTCCCTGCGACATTTTAACTTTTTACCTCCATCTTCATTTGTTGACTAATTTGCACGTATTGTTTGGTATGTGAGGATTACTTGGGTTATTGTGGACATCTGGTGTGAATTTTACCTCAATGGGCCCATTAGACATATTTCAACAAAGATAAACTGTTTCTCAGGTGTAAAACCATCTTATTACAGGTCTTTCTGTGACACAATACCAGCTACACGTAGTGCAGAAAATGATCTCTTCTTAAATTATGTAGCCAAAAAAAAAAAAGAAATTTCAGAGTTGTACAAATACCTCCACTGACGTTCAGATAACCCAGGTCTCTTTTTCTGCTGCTACACATTTCATTTTATGACAATACACCAAGGCCTTTCTGACTATCAATCATGAACTACATGACAGAGTGACACCAAAACATCATTCTCCTTTTACTTTTCAGCATAAGCATAAACCGCTCTCCTGTTTACGGAGTCTGAGTCGTTTCGTATGGGTGATTAATAGCCTAGCGATGTGACGCTGGAGCTCCTACTGTAAGTATGTAAGTAAGCAATCAGCGACGCCTCCATCCTCCTCTGTTATACAACTAAGCAGAAGGACGCAGCACTGACCTTTCACTAATGAGAAGACAAATGGCTTTCTGCACCTGCTTTATTTGACATTCACAAGTGTAACACACACACAAAAAGAAAACCCAGAAACGTACCACTCTTGCCATGACTGAGTGGGTTCCTCTCCCTCGCCATTATTGTGTTATATGGTTTGACAAATGGTCCTCACCTTCACTGCAGGGCAGCGCGTTGCTGCAGCTGATTGGTGTACGAGTGGTGCTCTTTGCTGCGAGGACAGGAGACTGTTACACCAAGTGCTTTTAAAATGTGATGGAGTGTACACCTGAGGATGGGAAGAGAGGATTCTTTCCATTTGTTTTTTTTTGTTTTGTTACAAAAACCTTAAAGCAGTTAAAGATCTGATGACATAAAAATAACGCAACAGTATTCACAAGCACGGGTGTGCTAGCAGCTTCCAAAAGCTTAGTTCAGAACAACATTTACATCACACAATACGTTTAACCAAACAGTATAAACTCTGTTAATACATCTGTTCGTCCAGCTGCAGATGGACGTAGTAAAAGCTTTCCGAGAGAAGACGCGGCATCAAACAAAAATCAGGATGTTTCACCATAAAGTCCTGACGCACTACAGTCAGACGCCGTGTTGTTAAACCCGTCGGAAACTCTTTACGACTCGACGACGTGAAGCAAGAACATTTTCCAGGAATTACTGAAAGCTGAAGATAAAACGGAACAAAACATCGTGTCTTGAAAGAATAATCCAACCTCTTAAAACTTCCCCGCACTTTGTTACAAACACAAACCACTCCAGTGTGCTTTATTAGGATTTTATATAGTAGATTAATACAAAGCAGTAGATGATTCTGAAGCTGGATATGTAGTTTTTCAATATTTTTATAAATGCAAACCCGAATAGTGTGGCCTACAAAGGGGAGGGGTCAGCCTAATTTTGCGTAATGCCTCTAAGCAGAATACAGAGCAGCCAAATTACTAAGAGTTCACCGGTGTGTAATTTTCAGATTATTTTTGTTTTACTTCTCCATCTAACCGGAACGAGACATAACCAGGTTTAGATTTGCAAAGCATGTGCAGTTTTTCTTCCGCGGCACAATTATGTGCGACTTTGTGTCGGTCAGTCATATAAAATCCCACTAAGTTACACTGAAGTATGTGGTTGTAAAAGTGAAAAAAAAAAAAAAAAAAAGCAAAGTACCTTAACCTAGTCATCATGTCAACTCACAGGCAGAACAGAACTGAGTCACGTAGTTACAAGAAGATACTCAGCGGGTGAAGGATTGTTCCCCCGTTATGTCAAACTCACCGACTATTACCAGTAAAATAAATCTGTTCTTGGATAACAAATAGCTTTCGATTACTGAGACAGTGTTGACATCTTTGTGCTTTAAAGATCACTTATCTGATCTGATATTTCTCCTGAAGGTAAAGGAAAATACATTGCTCTTGTCTGACATCAGTGTGAGCCGAGGACAGCGGCGTGTTCACGTGCTGAGGGACCGCCAGGCCGATGCCCCCAGCTGCTGGCTCGTCCAGCACAGAGCCCCCACCAAGGCCGCCGCTGCCGTCACGGCCAGGCTGGCCTTCAGCACAGCGCTGGGGTGTCTGCTGAAGCGGGCCGGGGCCATGCAGGCCAGCAAGGCAGAAGTCACAGACAAGGTGAACAAAATGGAGACGGCCGTGTTGATGGCCACAATCTGACCGAACTTGGCGAAAGGCACAATGACGCAGAAGAAAAGAGGGACGGTGGAGATTGCCGTGGTGACGGCGCTGGACACTATGGCAACGCCCACATGGTTCACTGCCTCCAAAGTTCGCCTCTGCCTCTCGGCTGAAGGCTCCTGTAAGCAAAGCACACAGAATAAAGGGTTGATTTAAAAGCATGTTCTTTCAGCGCTTTCAGAGTCTCTTTTGTTCATGAGACATAAAGGTGTGTGTGTTTTTTTTCTTTCTTTTAAATCTTTTTACATTAAAAAGCTCAAAGAAATTACTATAAAACTTTCAGTGTCTTTCATACCCCTTGAACCTTTTTACATTGGGTTATTTTAACAACCAGAAACTTCAATGTACTGAACTGGGTGAGAGACCAAACAGAAAGCAGAACATAGTTGTGACAGAATGACAGTGGAATGATGACAGTTATTTTTCATATTTTTCAATCATATTTTTTTTTTACTAAATTGTGAGCACCTGTGTGTAATTTAATCTCAGTACAAATCCAGCTGTTGTGTGAAGGCCTCAGACTTTTAAGAGAGAAAATTGATTTTCAAGTTTAAAGCAGGTTTAGACCATTAAAAATTATGCAAGATTTTGAATATCTTATGGAAAATTGTAACCCATTATCTGACAATGGAAAGAGTTTGTCATGATTTAAACCAACAGAAAAGGCAAAGAGCGCATTAATCAATGAAGCAGCCTATGACAACTCTGGAGAAGCTGCAGAAATCAACAGCTCAGGTGGGAGAATCTGACAGCAAGAAAACTATTGGTTATCCATCCAAATCTGGCCATTATGGAGTGGCGAAAAGAAAGCCGTGTTGAAAGAACGCCTTGAGAAATCATTTTTTCCAGCTGTGCCCCCAACAAGCCATGTTGGGGGCACAGCCAACATGGGGAACAAAATGCTGATGCAAATTAAAACAGTATCTGAGGTAGAAAGCTAACACTAAGCACAATATGCCAGCACTATGCTGTGTTGATGTTTTTATTTAAGTTGATGGGAAGATGTATGGAGCTAAATCCAGGACAATACTGTAAAACTCAGTAAAACCCTGGAGACCGGTGCGGAGGCTCAGCTTTACTTTAGAACCTCACATATCGTTCACAAGAATGTGATCAAATCTGACAGGGTTCAGATTTGATCACATTCACCATGTCACTGGTTAGAGCTGCGACTATGACAGAAATCTGCTTTCCCTTACAGAGCTGTGTCCAGGCAGTAGGGAAGCCGTCTCGCCAGCCAGCAGGTAACCCTCCACCAGGTGCAGACAGTAATCCACTGAAGATCCGACAAGTATCGACAGAGAAATCGCTTCCACTGCTCCCATCTCCCAACCCAGCCAATACATGACAGCCACAACCAGACAGATCACTCCTGAGGGTGGGTGGGTGGGGGGGGGGACAAAACAACAATGAACAACCCGGACCTCGATACATCCACGCAAAAGGCTTCCGAGCACGTACGCGAGCTGCTTCGTCTCTTACCTATAATTGTTATGAGCACCGGCAGCAGCAGCAGGGGATGCGCTGTAAACACAGACACGGCGGCCACACAGATCGCTAGAGAGAGCAGGAGACTCCAGAGGGCACTCTCCACACCTAAACACATTAGATCTCATTACATTTAAAAAAAAAAAAAAAAAACACACACACACTTCACTAATCAGTTAGCAGAGATAAAACACTGAGCCGAATCAAACACCTACCTATGATTTCCATGAAGATCTGCTTCCAGTGCTCGCATGTCTGGAAACCACGTTGGAGAGCCGAAGTCTGTGGGAGACTGGCAAGCTGCTCCTGGATGAAGTTCTCCCACTGGAGGAAGTCTGAGTAGGTCTGAAAGGATGATTTCCCCTTGTATGTGGTCTTTGGAGAGAAGAGGGCAGGTATGTCCGGTCAGACAGCTTTTTTTTTATTTATTTTTTTATTACAGATGCAGAGGGAAAGCTTCGAGATTTAAAGGACTTACAGATTCAAAGGCCATGGACAACCAGCGGACCTTGCCGCCGTGCATCCCCACTGCGCCGTGGGAGAGCTGGCCCGGGAGGAGATTGGGTTCGGGGAGGGAGTGGCACTCAGGATGGAGCAGAGGAAGAACAGAGGAGAGCTTGTTGCCTGCCGGGAGCAAAAGAAACACCATCATCATCCTCCTCCTCGTCGTCTTTTACCCTTCACACAGATTAATAACCTTGAGAACATTTCCACATTTTGTCACTTCAGTGTAATTTGTGTTACTTTTGAGAAAACCAACACTGCCCTTCACCCTGAACGCACCAGAAAGCATGCAGGGGGGTGGCAGCATGATGCTATGGGGATGCATTTCTTTAGCAGGTACATGGAGGCTAAGTCGGCGTTAATGGGACGATGGATGCAGCTGAATACAGAGTAAAGCTGAAGAAAACCTGCTAGAGGCTACAGCTAATTAGACATCCTGCAGTGTTAAGGTTTTTAAATAATAAAAGTGCTGATTTACAAAGCACTGTGTATTTCTTTGGCCAACGTTTTATTTTGTCACACATTTTATCTTTCCGTGTTATTTTAAAGTGATTTTGACACAAAGGCACTCAGAAAGTGTATACATTCAATATGTAATTGGCTGCCGTGAGGCACGCAACGATTTGCTTTACTTCACATTTAGCCAGTAAATATCTTTGGGATAAAAACAAAGTGGATCAGTGTTAACACTGTGCGAGTTTTACCCGAAGGCAAACACTGAGCTCCTCCCGGCTTCACCAGTTTTCTGTTTGCACCAACCGCTTTGCAGATTTTGCAGAGATGGCCCATCTCCTTGAAAATATCAAAGTCTGGATCCAGGATAACGCTGCCCTTTAGAAAACGAGAAAATGAAATAATGTAAGAGAAACACTGATGCTGCGAGGTTTTTTTTTTTTTTTCTAAATGTCTTGCAATATGGACTCGCAATTACAATTTAGACAACTGTCATTTACACACTGCGGACAACGTGGAGATCAGCGTCAATGCAGTGACCCCTCACCATGTCTCCAATCACATGGTTTTCCCTGTTCTCGCTTCGATTGACTCCCAGGATGCCGAACACGACGAAAACCATGGCCCCGGTGTCGACCAGAGGACGCACAGCTGGGCGACCACAAGCGCCGCCGCTGCACGGGTTGAAGCCAGACGTCTTGGATGCTTTCGTCTTGGCAGCGGATGAGGAGTCTTTGAAAATAGAACAAGAGGAAAATCTTTCAACTGTGTTGAAAGATCAGTGTAAAAATAGCTGCTCAACCAGAGTGCTGTGGGAAACATTAAAAAAAGAAAAATCCTCCAGTGGGTTTACAGAGTGCCACTTCAAGAAGCTTGTCATATCACAACATTTTCTTTTCTCGAGTCACAACACTCACGATGTGGGAGCAGATGACAAAGACATGACAAGGTAGAGAGTTGCATGCAGTGTTTTCCTAATGAACTGAATAATCACTTTTATGTTGATAATAAACTCAGACAAAGATGCTTGCATACCGCTGGGGAGGGGAGTATAAAAAGATCCCTTTAAGGGTCCGTCAGGCCCGGAACTGAAGCCACAGCCAGGTGTTTTGACACACAGCCTGCTGGGATGAGGTCTCTGATGGCACTGAGCAAAATACAGCCTCCTGAAGGCAGAAGGCAGATTTAATTTGACAGATAAGCTGCTAAAGCCCTCCGGAGAGTCCGTACTTGTCATTCCACCTGCTATTCTGCTGCGGAGACGCTGCGACGTAGAAGGAAAACTCCTGGGTCCAGCCGTGGCGGGGATCGCACAAGCCGGACGTGATCATCCAGCTCGGGTACGGGCGATACTCTCGGGAAACGCACACCGTCATTCTGCTGGTGTAGTTTTTCTGGGGATGACTGAAAGCCTGTCCAGACAAACGTAACAGATTGTTTTGGCGGTACGTGCCGCGAACGGGTGGCAGAGGCGGCTTCGTTTGCTCCCAAACCTGGAACGACGACACCTCGTCACGCTCCGTGCTGCACACTTTCCACGGCGACGGGATGCTGGTGTTGAGCGAGAACCTGTAGATTGTCGTGGAGCCTCCTTGGGCCAGCTTCGACATGTACACAGTCAGCAAGGAGTCTGACACCAAGAAGCACACGAAGACATCAAGACCAGCGCTCTCGCATATGGAGGATCATTTCTACCCTTCTTACCTGTGTTGTTGGTGCTTGGGCTTGTTTTCATGGAGACGGTCGAAGCTGTTGTGCTTTGACTTTGCTGATGCGTGGAAAACCTCAACCCTGATGGGGAAGTATGCGTGTACAGCAGATGTGGTTTTTCCATGAACACCCCTAACGTGATAAAAACGTGCCTTTAGGGCAGTACGTCTCAAACTGTTTGTAACAAGTACCACAGCTGGAAATAAGTTTCCATGTACAAACATACTGAAACAGTTTAAAGCCGTTTTAGACTCACAAAGGGGACCTGGAAAATGACACATAAAGGTTCTTAACCACAGGGACTGCAATTGTATGACTGCACTGCCACATCCTAAATACAAGGACGCGATTTAATTATGCACATCCTTTCCCTCAGAGGCCGTGAGGTCAACTTCAGGTTAAAAAATATTTACAGATTTATTTCTCTGAAGTCCAAATTTTAAGTTCTGCAGCAAAATTCAACACGGCTGCCTTGCACATAAAAAAATACGAGACATAGTTTACTTTCTCTTCTGATAGTTAATCCTGTCCCGTACGCAATACTTCATAATCTCTCTGAGTGAGGGTTACTACAGCGTTCACATCAGTAAATGTTTCTTGTATCATAAAACACAACAGGAAGTAGAGATTTTCAAAATTGTTGTTTAAACTAGACAGTTTAATTGTGCTTCGTTAATATTCTAGATTTTAAATGTCAAACCTGGATTTATAATGAATGAAGGTATCAATTATGCACTGCTGGTAGGTAGGATGTTACCTGCTTTAAAACCTTTCCAACAGAGCCTCTTTAGCCGCTGTAGTCTCACCTGAGCAGGTGGGGCAGGAGATGCCCTGACCACTCAGGTTGCTGCGCAGAGCCAGCAGCGTCTGAAGGTTTGTTTCCTGTCGGAACAGGAGGGGGGCGTGGGTGGCCGGCCTCAGGAGGCAGCAGCAGCCCGCAGAGAAGACCAGAACCAGGAGAAAGACACCTGGACGGGAACCAAGACAGGGACAAACAGCGGCAGCTAGAGAGGACGGTCTGACTGAGCAACGTAAAGAAACTCCTCAGGAACAACGACACAGAATGTTTACTGAAAGGTGCTTTTCATTTCACAGCTGTAGTCTCACCGGTTGAAACACAACAGATGCAGATGTGGGCAGATTTAATGGTTGCCATGGTGAAGACGCGTAAAAATGCTCTTAAGGCCATTTAGAGGTTGAACTATTCCAAGGAGAAACGGGGCACTTGTTCATCAACCTGATGCGGTTTCAGTTCTGATCTCTACCACGGAAACATTAACAGCTCGGTAAAAATGTTAAGGGTTGTGAGAAACAAAAATAAAATAAAAAGAGGTGAAATTGTGTTTGGCTGAAGAATTTCCAGGTGGTTTTTGGTATAAAACAAAGGAAAAGTACCTCACAGTAACTGTTAAACAATGGAGGACATGTGATGCTGTTTTTCAGAAAACTGAAAATTGCTCATCAATGGGAATTTCAACAGGATTTTCTGCAAATGTTATGGCAAAATCAACTCAGTAATTGCTCAAAGGCAAACTACAAACTAGAGTTAGATGCAATAGATCCAGGACTCTGTCCTTCTCTGCCTCTTTATATGGTTTATCCAGTCTTGAGAAGACTTATAGAAGAGTCAGTGCTGTCAACAGGGGGAGCTGTACAAAGTACTAACACCAATAGTACTATCACCACTATAATGAAAAAGAAAAAAAACAACAACACATGTATATTAGTGTTTTTTTCCCTGCTAAATAAATGCTTTCAATTTAAAAGTTACGTTTTCTAATATTTTTAGTGTGAGATTAATTTACTGCAATAAAATATTGATTTATTTATCGATTTTTAAGGCTGTTACATCTTTACCGGGGGCACAGACAAATGTGTCTGTGTTTCTATGTGAGTATTTTAATCAAGCGGCTTCGCTCTCATGGCTGCGGCTGAGTGAATTCATGTCATGTCTCACCTAAAACCACTTTTCGGTGCTTCACGGCCGGCTCAGCCACTAAGTGCTTCAGGCACCACTGGAGGTTTGTGCTCACCACACCCATCTGATGCTGTCCTGCGGGGGATAATGGCGCATCCACCGTCAGGGAAATAATGGCTCCGTCGCTGTCTGTGTCACAGGAGCCTGACGAAAAAGGAGAAAGACCTCAGTGACGCCTGAGCAGCTGCGTTTTTACAGCCCGGGAATCGTTGCCTGTCCCGTTTCTCCCCCAACGCGCCATCCCGTCATTGTGAAGGAGATAATAATCTCACCTGGCTCCATGTCCACCGACAGAAGTGCCACATCATCATCCTCGTCTGACAGAGGGCTGTAGCTCGCTGACAAGCCCAAAAGCAGCTTCACGCTTCAGGGAGAGGACAGTTTAGGGTCAGAGGCAGCTGGTGGGAGCGCGTCGAAGCTGCGCGCAGCCACCACCACCACAAAATAACACCTTCCAACAAAGTGAGGAAACAGGAGCTCACCAGTTCATCCAGTCGTGTTCGTGAGGCTCCACATGCCGGGTCCAGATACACAGGGCTGCTGGCATCAGGACAGACACCCAAAGCCAGGCGCAGCTGACAATGAGGGCCATGAACAGGCCAAAGTCATGCACGGCTGGGATCTGAGTGTCAGTTAAGCGCAGCACAGTGTAAAGGACCTTCAAACATTCAATTTGTGCTTATCGAGTGAAAATGGCTGTCTGCTGAGAGCAGCACTTCTATTCATCCTCTGCAGAGGAGTCGTTAAGACTCCGAGCAGACGTTCAGTTAAAACGCTGCGCTTCTCCTCGCCCGATTACCTGAGAGAAGGTGTTGGCGGCGTAGGCGGCCGCGGTCGTGAAGGAGGTGAGGAACGTCGCCCGGCCGGCCGTCTTTATTGTGTAGATCATTCGCTCGCGGGGCCGACGGAGATGGGAGGCCTGTCTGAAGGTGCTGATGAACACAAACACATCGTCCACCCCTGAGAGGCGGAGAGCAGATGCACGTCGGTTATTATCTGTGCACCGGTGCGGTTTGTTTTGTTAATGTAACAAAACCCTTGAATGTTTTCATTACATTGAGTGCAAATCAAAACTGCATGCCTGCAAGCGGACATTGAAATAAAAAGCTTGGCTTAGTATAGAGACTAGAAAATATGGGATATTTTTTTTGTGAAAAAGAGAAAGGGACATGATCAATTTTTCAAAGAGGTAGTTTAATTTGGGTTTAGTTGTTGCACATTTTGGTCTGGTGGAACAAACTCAGACAAGAGCAGCTGTTATGACGACACAAGATCCAATTAGTAGTAATCATTTTTACTGTTGTGGTAAAAAAAAAAAGAAAGTACACTCCATATAATCTGCATATGGTCTGGCCTTTACCAGGTACTGAGATTATCTCACTACAAGCCCAAGTATGCAAAACAACACACAGCTGATTCCAAATTGTTAATATTTAGTAAACACAGATAGCAGCAAAAAAAGTTAAAATTGTGAAATATTATACGCAAAAACATTAGATGTGGCAAAAATATGTACAACCTTTTCCGTCTCAAGAAGGAATTATGACACTTGGTTACATTACAACCGCAAACTTTAACTTTAACTACATTTTATTCAGATTTAACGCAACAGACTAACGCAAAGTCGTCTGTAATTGTACAGTGGAAGGAAAAGGCATGCATGTAATTGCAAACCAAAATTTCTAGTGTGGCATGCATTTCTATTTAGCTCTCCCTAGAAATACACTTGACTGCAATTACAGATGCAAGTCTTTTTGGTGTATCTCTTTACCAGAGTGACATTTTTTTTTTTTATTCATCTTTATAAAACAGCCGCAGCTCAGTCCAATGGATTTCTGTCTGAACTATTCAGTCCCAGTTTGCGCTGTATTCAGCTTCATCCATCTTCCCATCAACCAAACAAGCTTCCAATGTCCTGCTGCGAAAAAGAGCATCCCCACAGCATGCTGCTGCCATCACCACCTGTCACCGCAAGGATGGTGTATTCATGATGGTATTTTTGTCACACATATGCACTATTTTATGTTCACATCAATTTTGTGATTGCAGTGACACAAAATAGGAAAGAATTAAGATCGTAAACAAGGCACTGTACGAGACATCTGATGCATCTCACAGGAACTTGAATCTTCGATGTTTGATATCATTTTTTCTGACAGCTTTATTGATCAAATTATATGGATTTTTTTATAAGGAGCTAAAAAATTATAAAATTTAGCTGAAAAATGTCACTCAAGTATTTTGAGAACAGCTGAAACACAGTATGCTGTCTCAGATAATCTGGTCAGATAATCTTTACATTCATTCAGCTGCTGGACAAAAGTTGGTTCATTATAGTTGATATAAAAGATCATTTGCAGCTTCAGCTCAGTCAACTTCAACAAAGTACACACATCCAGATCTGTGGTAACAATTTGAACATCCTTTTTCCACTCTAAAGAAAAAAAAATCTTTAATCGCTTGCGTGTTTTGGCACATGGCAGCGACTGACACTTCTGGAAAAGAAACCCACCAAGCTGAGCAGAAGCCCAGAGAACAAGTGTAAGCAAGTGCTCAGCTTCTCTAAGTAGCTCTGCTGTGATTTTCTACTGGAGTCACTTTTTATCAGCAAATAATAACCAAAGCCAAATCTCAGCACCGTTTGATGTACTCTAATTAAGTTCTCTACATTTGAGCCAGTTTTACAGCTTGAGGCCCTGATTGACTTCACATTTAAAGTTCCCTGAGTAATCATGTTAACTTATGCTCCGGGTACGTGTTCAAACATTGCTTTAATAAAGTATATAGCTGAGATTTTTTTTTTCTTTTAAGAAGTTAGTAGGCAGACAAAGTTTGACCCATTGGAAAGATTTTGCCTGTTTTGTCTTATTTTTGCTCTTCTGCTAATCGAATTAAAGGCTTATATCTGCTGAACAGAGCTGTTTGTAGAATATTTCCTCCACAATAAAAAAATAAGCAAAACCAAACTTTCAGCAAGATTTTAATAACTCACCAATCCCAATGATAACAAACGCTGCGACTCCGTTGAGAATGCCGAGATACCTCACCCCGAAGACAACGTGGTACAAAAACAGAGCCATCAAGCAGCTCAGCCCAATGGCGGCGAGTCCAAAGAACGTCAGAAAGACTTCAAAGAGAGCAGAAATCGAGCCGGTTAATATTCCAAGCTACCGTACGAGTCCAAAGAAAAATAAAATGGGAAACTGCTCCTGCTGTACCAGAAAACGAGGTGAGGATGTAGACGAGCACAGTGATGCAGACTCCGCTGATGACGGCCAACATCATATCGTTGTAAAAGGTGTGTCTCACCTCATCATCAAACAGCTCCGTCCCCCCATACAGCACCTTCACCTCACTGTAAGAGGAAGTGCAAAGTAAACAATCTGCAGTGGTAATACGTACCGCGAGGCTGTTAGTGCTCCAAACGCCCTTTTGTCTCTGACCTGGTGGACTGCTTGGCCAGCATGCCTGCGTACTGAACCACAAAGTTTTTGAAGCGAGCTCTCTGCTCGTCTGCTCGGTCCTGCAGGGAGTAGAAAGACGGCAGGGGAGCCCCGAAGTGGATCTCACTGCGCAGGAGAGCCGAGGAGAGACGCTCGGGGGACAGACTTTCATCCACGTACCAGTAGAACTGAGGATGGGTGATGGCCAGACTTAAGGAGCCTACAACAAAGCGCCAAGAGATGAAAGCAGGAGGCAGGTTAGCTCGTCTTTGATGATACAAAACATTTCCTGCACCTTGAACTTGAAAAGTCAGTTTTCCACCACATATAGTATTTTGCATGCGAGGAAAGACAGAGTTTTGTTTGTAGAGAAGGTTTAACACCCACTTATAATTTTCAATTCTTCAGAAGTTCTACACTTTTTGTGTTGTTTCATGACATAAATCTCTACTAGAGGACACAAAAGTCTGTGGTTTCAACATGAAATCACGTGGAAAAAGCTCAGTGGGCATCAGTGCTTTTGCAAGGTGATGAAGTGGAACCTTGACACTGACTCACCTTGAATATCAGCCAGATCTGGGCCTATGCCATCGTAGTATATCTTCCCCGCTCTCTCACTGGGGTAGAGGTAAGACAGAAGAGAGCTGGGTGGGGAGCAGTAGGACGGCCCCAGAGGCAGATCCCTTAAAATCTCCATGGGTTTCCAGCAGAACTGATGAAACTGCGGATGCTGCATGAGGAGACGTTCCACATGGTGGATGGTCTCCAGGCGCTCCGGAGTGAAGATGTTGCGCTCTCCTTTCCCCTGAGCCACAAACACCAGCTCAATCCTCCACAGAGCCTGGCTCTGCATGTAGTAATTAGGAGCAAATCTGCGCTTCCTGATGAGCGGAAGGGAGGAGTTCCTGTCCCATAATCCCTGCTCCTCTTCGCCTCCAGGACTCTTGTCCCTCCTCAGCCCCTCCTGACTCGGGTCGGGCTCAGTTCTCGTTTCTCTGGCTTCTTCTGGTGTTAAAGTGCTGCCTGTTTGAAAGGAGGACGTCTCTTTCTCCCCCTCTGTCCAGTTGAAAACTCCCCTCTCCGCCAGCTTCTCCAGGAGAAGCTCCTTGAGGTCCCCAGACTCAGACTCATCGACGTCCCGCCTGCGCCTGTCCCAGGACCCCAGCTGCGTCTTCACAGCGATGGTGAGAGCGTCAAAGCGTTCAGCTGAGAAGTGGCTGTGAACCTCGAAGGCACTGTAGGAGAGGTCTATGTCCAGAGGAGGGCAGTAGAGCAGCATGTAGGCAAACAGGGCGCAGGGCATGAGGAAGGCCACCCCAAGGACCACCCCGCTGGCCCAGGGTTGTGTGTAGACCCACCCCACTCCCCTCCACAGCCCACAGCCCCCTGCAGTCCCCGACAAGCAGCCGTGCCCCGCAGCGTGCGCCACCCCGTCCTCCTCCTCCTCCTCTTCCTCCTCATCGTCACCCCAGCTGGTGCGAAACAGCAGCGCCTCGTCCTCCACATCCATGCTGGCACCTGTGAGCGACACATTACACCGCTTCATTATTACTCGCTCGCAGCTCTTGCTCTCTCTCTCTTCTGGAGAGAGAACTGCGAGCGTGAAATAGATGTTCGAACTACGAACAGTTGACACAAGTATTAGGCAAAATGAAGGACAGGGGGAACCCTCCAAATCTGTCCTGAGCAAGCGAGGGTGTGAAGGAATTAAGTTTGTCCTAGAGTTGCTGTGAGCCAAGGTCCTCCACTGCTGGGCTCATATGGAGAAAATTAAAGGAAGGGGGTGAGGTGGGAAGGGGTTCAAGGGCTTAGAAAAAAAAAAAAAAGAAAGAAAGAAAAAAGGTTGGCAGCTTTCTGCTTTGAGATGCTGCTCACAAGAGCTTGGGGGTGAGACGGGGTAAAAGCTGTGATTTTCTTCCTCTCCCTGTCAGCCCTTATCACCTGGAGAGAGTCCACTGGTGGCTGTCAAGGTGCAGCTGTGTGTGTGTGTGTGTGTGTGTGTGTGTGTGTGTGTGTAGAAAATTTAATAATCTCACCTGTCTAATTACTGACAGAAAGCGCAAGAGGGGTATTAGAAACTGTTGCTGGCTTATCTCCTGTGATGGACGGGTCTTGCCTAATGGTGTCAATGGGTGCCTCTTATTTAGACTCTCATGCTCGTGATGCGCTGCCGCAGACGGTTTGCATTCCGACGGCAGCGAGCGCTCGCCAACTACGGCAATTTATCTGCGCTCTTTAAGGGCCGCTCTCTAAGGTCAGTCAGGTGAGGCGCTGAATCACGATTAAGTGTGAACAATAGCTGCGCTCCGCCCCGCAGCTGAAGTGAAATCCATCATAAAAAGGAATTGGCTGTTTGTATTGCTCGATCAATACCACAAGCGATAAAGAAAGCAGAGACAAAGGTCTCTTCACAGACAAACCTGGAATTCATAATTAAACGCCAGGCCAAGCTGATTTAGGGACTTTTATTTTGTCCTCTGAAGTTCACTCTAGGACAGTGTTCGGTTATTCAAAGTGTACCGAGGTCTTAAAAACGTTAAGACATCAAAACCACCAACTTATATTGCCCTTTAAAATGAGATGCCAGAGAAAGTGACAGATGGAGAGAGAACAAAAGAGGCTGCAACACTTTTCTCTCACCCAGAAGAAGGACTAATGTGGCAATTTGGAAATACAGCATCATAACCAACCAGTTATGATGTGGAAATGATTTAAACCATGTTTTTGATTAAGTCTAGATAATCAAAGCTTTTAGTATGTAATTGTATTAACAAAAAAGTTTTTTATACATTTCTTAAAATTGTCACTAAGAGATAATCCGTTTGACAATAAAATCAAGCTCTTCCTCGTGCAACTACTGCAATATGCAGCAATACAGCCAAAAACAACCAATCAGAGTCAGGAAGAAGGTCTAAGTGCTGTAAATCGTGCTTTATCTGATGTAAATCTGCACACTCACCACAGGCTCACTGAAAGAAAGAAGCTACAATGTAGCAGAGAGCAAGAGGGAGGGTGGGAGCAGCGCATACACAGGGATGATTGAAAGTGCAAAACCCCTCCTCCTGGCTCTGATTGGTTGTTCCTACAGATGACAGTGGGGCCATGGGGAGATTGATTTTTCCACATTATCTGTCTTATGTTATGCTGCCACAACATAATGACAGTTTTAATAAATATGAAAAAAAACATACTTTGTATAAATGTTACTATGACAGCTTTAACATCAAAATCCAAATAAATTTGACACATAACTTTATTGTAAATACACCAATATTGAGCCTAGGCAACACAAGAGTGCATGAGACACTTTTATGGCCTAAATATATAAAGCCAACCTGCTGCTATAGCACCGCTAACCTTTCATGTTGCTTAAACTTGATCATTTTTTAACTGCACGTGAACATAACGTACATTTTATGACCACAGATATGAGTAAATCCAAGCAGCACTAGATATTATCATCTATTTTTAAGCGTTCCTCTCCATTTTACAATTTCCCCAGACAAGAAAAGAGTAAATGTAATAGAGCGGGAAGTTTATGTTTCTCTTGGATGTCATTTTGAGGGTCACATTTATAAGTTAGATGCATGTGTGAGTTGAGGAAGTGAGTTACTCCCCACTAAAAACTTGCCAAATCCTCCCTGTTAATGGTAAGCAGTTTTTGGTAGAGGCAGCATCATCATGTGGGGGCCGTGGCGTAACAAGATGAGATCCTGCAACCAGTAGCAATCCAAAATCTGCTCTCTCTTGAACTTTGTCCTCCAAGATGTTCAGCCCTCTACCGATTATTACATTTGCTCTTCAGCAGGTATGTGTTGCAAACAATTCTGTATTCAATCCTGTATTTACAAATAAACATGGAAAAAGGCCATTAGCTGCTGATGTGTTTGCAAAAGTCACAGTGTTCACGAAACGTTTTCCCAGGTCTGACACAGGAAGCTGTGTCAAATGATTGCTCAATCAATGCTGCAGGTGTAACATTTAAACTAGAAAATATTTTCCTCAGTTTGTTAAAAGCAAAAATCAATTCAACTTTTCTAGGCGATTCTAGCAGGCTCTGATATTATTCATTTTGCATATCGATTTATTAAGACATGTCACGGTATTTCAGCAGCAGAAAGTATAATTTTTCCCTTCTCTCCTTCAAATAAAAAGAATTGCATCCTGATATACAAATTTTAAAGTCTACGCTTGTGTAAAAGCAGTGATATCTTATGACTACAGGCTACTGCACGAAACCGTTTTGCTCAAGGTTACCATTACTAGGAGACTCATATCAACCCATGCATATTGCACACTGCAGTTAAAGTAGATAATGTATTCATGTTTCCAGTGGAAAAAAAAATTAAATCTTCCACAGTGGGACAAAGTCAGACTGCAGTTCACTGATAATGCGGCGGCTCACGGACATCTGTAATGAGCCCGTCATTAAAAGTTTTTGCTCTTCACTTTCAGAAAGCTTTTAATATCAAATGTCCACATGACTCAGACGGGCTAATGCTGTTTAATGGCAATTTTTTTTCCTTTTATGTAATAGATAATAAAGCCTTTAGAAATGAAAATTGAGAGCTTCACACTGAATCCGATATTCTATAAAGGACACCAATTTTCAGCTATTTTGTTCATCTGAACCACGATAGTTTTTTTTTTAATTAAGACAAAGTGGACTTTTAAAAAGGGGGAGACACGGCGTTAATGTGAAATTCCTGAACTCTTAAGAGAACAAATTTATTTATTATTAAAGTACAACTGCAATTATTGACTTATTCAGCTAATTTTTTTTTCATCTGCTACTTGATTACACTGTTTCTAATTCTGAATTAACAAGGATAAAAGAGCTTGTGCCTCTTCAGCCTTTCCACTTAGTCAATACTTTGTCAAACCACCTTTTTCTGCAATTACAGCTGCGGATCTTTTTGGTTTCTACTTTCGAGGGACTGAAGGTTTTATTTCTTCAATCCGATTGAGGAAAATCTGTGAACATTAATTTTCAGCTCTTTTATTTGGACAAACCTTTGAAAATCAAGTATCAATTCCCCCCTGCCCTCTTCACAATAATGAGCCACTTTGTTCTGCTGGTCCATCACATAAAATCCCAATAAACACCTATTGTCTCTGGTTGGAAAATGGCAAATTATGAAAAATTTCAATAGGTATAATTGCCTTTACAAGTTGCTGCATAATTTTCTGTCCTTGGCTGCGGTGTGAAGGTAGAATTATCGGTCATCTGCAATCAGCAAAAGCCATTGCTGACAAATGTTTTATGTACTGCAATATGCAACGTTACCTCAACAGAGAAGATCAATTATGTGATATTTCCAAGACAAATGTGTGTCCTATAATTCTTTATCGGCTGCCAATGAAACTGACTACAGCTGGTGGATTTTGATAATTAGATTCTCCTAACCCTGTTACGTTTCATTTCTGTCTTCCCTGCCTCGTTTTAATAATGCCACTTCCACTTCTTGTGTCGTCAGGAGAGAAGAGAAGAGAAGGCTCCCGGACTTGCGCAGCGACATAATGAGAGGAGTGGAACAGAAAGTGGAGAGGAGCGAACAGCTTGGCTAATGACCACTAAAGTACACAGTCCTGCACTTATCAGCTGTTCAAAAGCAAAGATATTAATAACAGAGAACAAACTGGATTAGGAGTGTACAGTTACGTTTCCACAACTCCATTTCTTTCCACATCCAATTTGATGTGCTGATTTCCTGGAGCCAATGACGAGTTTCTTAGAGTCGCAGTGTATCGTGAGTGCATGTGCAAAGCTTTGCGATACCCTTCATCCGTCCGGGTGAGTCTACCGACACCTGCCAGTGAAGGGGAGCAGAGCTAATGAGAGTGATGCACGGCCTGAGGGACGCATCCTTTCTCCCTCTCTGATGAGTCTGATGCTTCTTCGCATTCAAGAAAAATCAAGCCTCGTGCACCATAATTATGAGCAATGCACAGCTGTAAAGCACCGCCAGAGCTGCGGAGCCGCGGTATAACTAATGTGTTTACAAGCCGCCGGATTTGTTCAGCATTGCTGTTTTTCTGCAAAGATTAAGAGAACACGGCTGATTTAAACCCTCATGCAGGTGAGGATTAGAGCTAGGCTGCAATTTGACTTCCCGCATTGTGCGTTTGTCGGGATATATATATAAAAAAAAGAGCTGCCTCCCAGATAACGCCTGGATTATTAAAGCTATTTTGTCATTAGCGAATCACCGTTTTGTGTTTTTCCTTAAAATGCGGCACCTGGACCTAAAATAGAACTGATAAGTGCATGAAGCAGAACGAAGAGAATCTGTGTGCATGTTCTGAGAGGAATGAACATCCTCTTGTATAATGTATGGTGTGTTACCGGATGACCTTGCGCGCCCTCGTGTCGGACTCACTTGGGAACTTTTTCTGGAGCTTTAAATATTATATTATTTTATTTTTTTTTTTTCTTTCCAAAGTTTTGTAGCTCGGGTGTTCATGCTGTATCTGTCTTGGTGTGGGAAGAACATGAGCTGCATGTGAGGAGGCTCTTT